AGAAATCAGATAGACATGATCAAAACGCGTAAAGTCATCTATAAAAGCGCTGAAATATGATGCACCATGTCTTTCCTTCATATTAATTGGATCACAAATATCTAAGTGTATTAATTGCAATGGAACAGATGTTCTGTTGGCCTTACCAAATGGTTTTCTAGTTTTTTTGTTGGCAAGGCAATTTTCATATATGGGCAAGTTGATAGTAGCGAGTCAGGATTGGCTCAACCTCATCACTAGGTCCTAGATGTTTGAGGTAGAGTTAGATTAGGATACTTGGTCCTAGGTCCTTATCACCAGCTATTGATTACTAAAAGTAACATTTTACTAGGATTCTAGGTCCTAGGTTGGACCTTAGTTGAGTAGGGCTCGCATAGGAATTGGAAATGCATGTGGACTTGTCGTAGCTTGATCAAGGATCAAGTAGCTAACTCTGGGAGACTTCTTGTATGGGGTGCTGACTAGGAGGGACCTCCCCCAAGGAGGTGCTGACATATAAGCCCCTACCCACTGAAATGCTGATAGGCAGAGACCTGCCCCAAAGAGGAGCTGACCAGTAAGGGGTTTCCTAGTTTGGTGCCGACCGAAAAATAACTCCCCAAGTGGGTATCGAGTGGCACTCATTTCCTTATGCCTCATAATTGCCCCCATTACTCAATTAACAAAAGGAGTTAATTAAGGTATGCATTTTTTGGTCTAATAGGATCAAGGAAGATAGGCTTGAGAAGCAACTTAAGGATTCCAGAGTGGAGAATGTCTTCTTGAAAAAAAAGGTTACTAAGGTAGAAACTCGAGCTAGCGAGCTTCAAGAGGAACTTGTTAAGGCTAATAGTAAGAATACTAAGATAGATAATCAAGTGAAAAATGTTGTCTACGATCATTACTATAGGATTTTGGACAAAGTCAAGAAGAAACTAGTTCTTTGAAAATGGTTAAGGATGAGCTCTCAAGGCAACCAGGATTGATGGGTCATATCCAACTTGGGAGGACGTTCACTGGCCTGAGAGTGATTTCATGATTCTTGAGATCATAGAGAAGTTCCTTGGTAGTGGTGGTTTGAGTCTTCTAACACCTATGCCCCCGTTCTGACTAAAGGGGGAAGGTCCCCACAAGTTAAGGCATTTGATGCTCGAAGGTGACACGTCCTTAAGAAAGGCTAAGTAGCTTGGTGAGAAACTATGGAAGTTGTTAGTCATCTGTCAAAGACTGAGTAACTTAAAGGGTAACCTTGGAGGTTGCATAGAGGTGAAGTAGCTTGAAGGTCAACTGTGGACGTTGTATAAAGGTGAAATAGCTTGAAGAGAAATCGTAGAGGTTGGCTTAATGTGCAACCACAGAGGATGGCTAGAGGTGAAAGAGCCCTGAGGTGCAACAATGACGATTGGTTATAAATACAACCATGAAGGTTTGCTTGAGGTGTAACCATGGAGGTTGGTTGGAGACAAAGGAACCTTGAGGTGCAACCACGATGGTTGGCTTAAGGTACAACCACGGAGGTTATCTTAAGGTGCAATCACAAAGGTCGGCTTGAGGTATAACCATGGAGGTTGGCTAGAGGTGCAACCATAAATGCTGCAATAATCATAAATAAAGGAACGCTTAGAGTTGTGAAAACAAATGTCTCTCTACAAATCAATGAGAATGAGAAACAATTATCTTTGAAGACTTCTTGAACTAATAAGACATTGTCGACTAAGCTAAAAGTAAAATTTAGTTATCTGGTTGGTCATCTGATTGAATTTGTTGTTCTTCCTTCTCCTTGGTAATTTTTTCCTTGTAAATGTACAGAGAGAGGTGAACTTGTTTGACCAATTCTTCCAGGTTAAACTTTAGTGCCTAGCAACTCTCCATCCAGTAGCCTTTGTTCTTGTGATGAGAATAATGGAGATTTTGGTCCCATTTTGATGGATCTCCTATCATCTTAGGTGGCCACCTAAAATACTCCTTGTATTTGATTTGGTTTAGGACATGATAGATAGGCTCCTTTGTAGGAGTCTCTTGTCCCCTTGGATGACCCGTCTCTCCTTGATTGGTTGGAAGTGTTGTCTTCCTCCTTTTGGTTCTTCTTTGATAGTTGGTCAACTCTTTACCTGCACGTACTTCTTGATATGCTCCTACAAGTGTGATATACTCTGGGGGTGGCCACATGGTAAGTTACTTTCTCAATTCGTTTTCCTTGGGGAGGCCCAAATAGAAAAAGACAGCGGCAGTTTTCTCATCGCACTCTTCTCTCTCGGTAAAGGTTTCCAAGTACCACGTGGCATACTCTTGGAGAGTCTCTCTACATTTCTGGCGTAATACCAAGAGTGTGTCAATTGTCACCGGCTCTTGAATATTGGCTATGAATCAAGAAATGAAATCTATGACGAGCTATTCTCAAGACAAGACCGAATTCATAGGTGTCCCATGAAACCACTTAAGAGCCGATCTCCCCAAGTAGGAGGGGAACATTTTACACATCAACACCTTATTGCTCCTCCAAAGGGCCATCTTTTTAGTAAAGGTTGCTATGTGAAGCACGAGATCAGACTTGCCATCATACAAACTCAAAGGAAGGAGGAGAGAACTTACATTGGAGCTCTACTTCTCGTATGGACCGAACAAAAAGGCATAGTTTTCACATGAAGATGGTCATAAACTTCGCGGGCTAGCTCAATGTAGGTACACTTCTATCTTTCATAATCGTCATACCACTCATCTCATTTAGAGCGATGGGTTAAACTTCCATGTCATTCTCTACGTTTCTTAGGGGCAGTGTCCCTCATAATGAGGGGGAAATTTCTAGATGAAGAGTCCCTAGGAAGCGTTAAGAAGTAGAGCATCTCGGTAGGTACCTTCCTTGATGGTGAGCATGGGTTGAATAGCTCCTTACAGAGACCTTCTCATATGATGGGTAAATTGAGCCTCATGAGAGCAATCGTTGTGCTGGTCACTTTAACAAGAGGATATTGAACCTGAATAGCAAGTTTGTTACCCCTTTGGTGAAGGAACCCTTGCTTGAGGGCTTCTAATTCCTATGTCTTATTTTTTTATTGCTTCCTAGTAGGCCACCTCGTTGGCTAATTCGCCTTCTCAGTCAAGGGTTGATAGATTGTGACATCAAGGGTACTATTATTCTGGGCACTTCTGCCCATCTAGGAGCAACATTTGGTAAGCCACTTAGGGGTCGTAGTTTGAGGGGTTTTCAAGGATTGAAGATAGTGTAAGAGTCATGCAGTAGTCATTGGGTCATTGTTCCTCTAGCTAGACATGGTTCAAGACTTCTAAGTTGTCAGAAAACTCAGTTGTTTCCCACAAATGGAGCCAATTGTGCAGGAATAATTTCACACTATGAGTCTCCATCATGTACGGACGGAGAGGACAGTGAGGAAATCTTGAGTAACCTACAATTAGAGATAACACCTAGGTGAACCGATAGTCGAAGGCGGCTAAAGGGACTTCGATGCCTAAGTAAGATCTCAAGTCAAAGAAGAAGATGTAGTTAATACATAGGATTGAATCCCTTACTTGGTACCCCAGAGGCCTTTATTTATAGCAATAGAGAGATCTATCAAAAATGAACCTGAACTCTAGGTTGATTGACTCAACCTCATCACCAGGTCCTAGAAGTTTAGAGAAGAGTTAAATTAGGACTCTTGGGCCTATGTCATTATCATCAGCTCCTGGATACTTGGAATAGCATTTAACTAGGATTCTAGGTCCTAGGTTGGACCTTAACCAACTAGGACTCGCCTAGAGGAAATGGGCACGCATGTGGACTTGTATTAGCTCGATCAAGGATCAAGTGGCTAACTCTAGGAGGCTTCAGGTGTGAGGTGCCAACTTGTAAGGACCTACCCCAAGGTGGTGCGGACCGGTAGGCCCTTACTCACTCAAATACCAACCGAAAGAGACCTCCCCCAAGGGGGTGCCAATAGGCAGAGAGTTGCCTAGTTTGGTGTCGACTAACATATGACTCCCCAAGGGGGTGCCAACAGGCAGAGAGTTGCCTAGTTTGGTGTCGACTAACATATGACTCCCCAAGTGGGTGCCGAGCGACACTCACTTCCTTATGCCTTACAAGTACGTTTCACAACAAAAACCAATTTGACTCTAAAACTAACAGCTACAGTAAAATATTAACAAACACTAGGAGTTTGAATAAGTTAGAAAAAATACTAAAATAGTAAAATATGAAATTCATATATGAAAAATCAAAAATCTAACAAAAAATCACATCATAAAACATTCACAATAATTTTGAAGAAGAGAACATATGTTATGTCGAAAAAAAAACATCAAAGAATAATGAGACAATAACCTACAATACATAATAATACAAATAGTGAAATACTAATTTTAGCAGCATAAACAATTTAACTCTAAGACTAACAAAAGCAGTAAAAAATAAACAAACATTGCCAGTGTCAACCAGTTAGTGGATAATAATAGTAATAATAATAATAATAAAATGTGAAAATTCTATAAAACAAATCAATAACTAACAAAAATTGCATTATAAAACAATTAAAATAATTTTGAAGAAGTTAAACACAATAAATATCATAATAACATAAAATTTGACATAATTTACCATGTATATAATAATAATAAATTGCTAATAATGATATTATTTAGCATAGAATAAAATTCATACCCTATGCTTAAAAAAAAGGGGGTAAAATACACTTTTGGTCTCCCAAAATATCCAGTTGGTGTCTATTTGATTTCCGATCTCTCAATTGTGTTAATTTGGTCTCAGATGTTCATATTTTGTATCCAGGTGGTCTAATTTTTAACATCCATCTGAGAGCCTTTCACAGATCATGTCATGCGCCATCCATGTAGGGTATATATGGAACTTACCTACCAGTTATCATTCTTCTCTCTATTAAATAGAGTTTGCCTCTTCAGATGCACTTTCATCTTCTCTCTCTAGAGAAGCAAAGAAAGTAGGGATTTGGTGGTTAATGCTCTTCCACTTTGATCAGTGTTATAGCAATCAACACATGCAGAAGAATATGGATGGTCGTGTTTATGGTGGTGACGACATTGGTAGTAAGTATTTTCGTCTGAATTGTCTTGGCCATTTTGTCTTTACCTTTTGTTCTACAAAAACATATGTTCATGATGGTATTTTTGTGGTCCCATATTTTTGTTTTGTTCACCCAACTTCATCTATAGAATGATTTTTTAATAAAATGCTCTTCCGCTTTGATCAGAGTTATATTGGTCAAATGTTTGTTTAATCACCCAACTCTAATTAAAATATTACTCAATGTTATTATATTATTTGTGTAGTCCCATGTTCTGAGCTGATATCGATAGAAGTTCATCATGGTGGGCAACTCATAGATACACCAGCGAAAACATATGTTGGTGGGAAGGTTGATACTGTAAAAGGTATTGATCCAGACAAATTCTCTTTGTTGGAATTAGATGATATCGCTAAAAAGCTTGGGTATGCACCATATTAGGCCTTCTACTACAAAGTTCCTCATTGTGATATGACGAATGGTTTGAAGCATGTATCTTGTGATGAGGCAATAATGCAAATGTTTCGGTGTTTGCCAAGTAATAAACTTGTTCGGGTGCATTTTGTGCATCCATATGGTTTGCTAGAACATGGTGAAAATGACCCAATGGGTAGTGGAGAGACAAACTCTAAATCAGATTCTGAATATGTGGAGGAAGAAAACCAAACTGGTTTAGAGTCCACAAAATATGAAAATATTGTTGATGAATATGGAATGTGCAATGATGATAATGAGGATGTAGAAGTTCAATGGCCCAGTTCTAACAGACAAGAGTGATACAAAGGGTTTGCAAGGCATTCTAATGTCAATGAAGAGTTGAACCCTAAAGATATTAACTCTGATTATGGATCCTAAAGTGAACTAGTTAGCATTGACAGCTCATCTGGAGAGGAGTGTGAAATACCAAGAAAGTATAAGTTCAAGCAATTCAGACCTGAGATAGACATGAGCAACCCCTAGTTCAAATTAGTGATGTTTTTTGTTACATCAATTGAATTTAAGGATACTATTAGAGAATATTCATTTAAGAATCAGAGGAATGTTAAAATAATTAAGAATGACAAGAGAAAGGTGAGGGCTATTTGCTAGAAAGGGTGTGGTTGATTATTGTATGCATCTGAAGTACAAGGTAAGGGTGGGTTTCAAGTGAATACTTGTGTCAGCAAGCACTTATGTGGTAAATCAAACTACAATAGGAACATGAACTCCCCAATTTTTGCCAAAAAATATATGGAAGAACTCAGAATAAATCCCAGAGAATAGTAGAGAAATCAGAGTAACAAAAGTACATGTACACTTTGAATACCAGAGAATAGTGAAGGGAATAATGTTCAAGGTGTCCAAGGGGCTAGACAAAGCATTGGACAAGGGGTTGGGGCCAGAGCACCGAACCAGTGATTGGATAAGAACCTAGCCAGAGCATTGGTGGAGGCAACATGCTTCAAGCTGGTAGAGAAAGAGGATAGCCAAATCGAGTTAAAGCTGTAGTCAAAAGAAGGCAACCCAATGGTCAAGTAGGTAGGGGAAGATGTATTGCTCTGAGCAAATGTAGATGTAATGGACTTGGAATTGAAAGAGGCAGTCCCAATATGACAGAGATAGGTGTTGGACTAAGCAAGAGTAGTGGCATTGGATTGAGTAGAGGAGCTGGACCAAATATAGGATTAAGCAACGGCAAAGGTATGACAAACAGAGGAGTTGGAAATCAAACAGGTCAAGGTATAGGGCATGTCCATCCTCATGAACAGGTTAGTGTACTATGAAGCATATGTTTATAGAAGATTTGCTTATTTTTCAATGTAATGAACCTTTAGAATTGGTTTTCATGCAAGTTGGTTTTCACAAATTTCATCCCTCAGGGCTATTCTCAAATAACACCAATTGCATCAACTAAAGGCACTTCTTAGACAACACCAATTGCATTAGCTAAAGGCACTTCTCAAACAAAACCAATTGCATCAATCATGTGAAAGGGTCAGAGATGCGTAACCCTATCTGCACTGGAAGCTGCTTCAAGAAAGTTCTGAACTTCACATGCGTTTTGGGACCTTTTGATACTAGTGTTTTTGGTTGGTAGATTGACCATTGTGAAAGTAAATATATTTTAGGGCCTTTTGACAAATTTTTTGTTGGCAAAATGATCAATATGAAAGTTTTACGATTGTAATGACAGTTAGTGGCCTTCTGTGTATGGAATGGTTTTGTTCTTTGCACCTTTGAATTGATGTTTGAATGTGTAAGTTAATAGCCACTCCAAAAACACAGTGACAATAATTCATGCTAAATAGAGATTTGATTGCACACAGTGATCAGTCTAATACACCGAGAATTACAAAGTGATATACATCACCAATGCAAATATGAAACACAATCTTCAACACAAGCAATGATCATTTCTCTCTCATTTTAACTTGTTGAATTTCATTTTCCATCCGATGCATTGGCTTCAATAATCCCGAGATAACAACCCTTGATCTTTCATAGATGGGGGCGTCGTACCACACAAAGTAATCACAACCTCTAGAGTCCTAAAAAATTAAGTATAAATTATGTAAGATTTCAAACAACAAACATTTGAAATTTACAAAAAAATCAAAAAATTTATAAACACTCAATTCATTTTACCCCATATTTCTCACAACAAAGAAATCTCCCCCCAGGATGAGAATCGGTCCACGAAGTTCTGAGTCTGCAGGCTTTACCATAGTAGCATGGCAATGCCATTTCTTTCTCTTACCAATGCCCTATTCTTTTCACATTGAAAACCTCATAGCCATTGTTCTTCATCAATTTTTCTTAGTATGTGTGTGTATCTTTCATGATCACTTGAGTTACCGAACTCTTCAGCCATAGACCCACCTATATATACACACAAAGCTAGGAGCAATAGGTTTCAATGGCAGAAAGCTTTCCCTCTATTTTGTTGACGTCATAACCTAGATGGAAGAAGGTTCAACGGTAACTGGTAGGTGAAGTTCCATAAATAACCCCACGTGGATGGTGCATGGCACAGTCCGTCAAAGGCTCTCAAATGGACATTAGATATTCGACCACCTAGATACAAAATATGAACATTAGGGGCCACATTGACACAATTGGAAGATTGGGGACCAAATGTACATTAACTGACTCTAGGAGGCTTCTTCAGGCATGGGGTGTCGACCGACAACGACCACCCCCAGGGAGGTGCCGACCGACAAGCCCCTACCCACTCAAATGCCGACCGACAAAGACCTCCCCCCAAGGAGGTGCCGATCAACAGGTGCCTACCAACTCAAACGCTGACCGACAGAGACCTCCCCCAAGGGGGTGCTGTAAAACCCGGATAAATTTAAATTTTTATGAAAAAATGGTAAAATAGTATTTTGCCATTATAATACGGGTTGTAAACCTGAAATTTTCTAAAACTCTAATGACGAAATGGACCTCACTGTTAGATTCATCTCGTGAAATTTATTTACCCTGTCAAATTTCATCGAACTCCGAGATAATCGAATTTTTTGCATTTTATGAGACGGTCGAGTCTAAGGTGACCCAAAAACAGAATTTTTTAAAAAAAAAAATTAAGGCAAATTAAAATAAGATTATTTTGAATTTGAACTGAGACGAAATTTAATCATTTTGAGACGAAAACGGACCCGAGAAAAAAAGGGTCATGTGGCGCGTTGTGGGCCAAGTGTTCGAAAACTATAAATAAGGGGGAAAATCTGATTTTTTGCCCCATTCTTCAGCCGATCTTCAATGTTGAGAGAAAGAGAAGGAAAGTGAGGAAAAACTCCAGTTTATCTCTAAGATACACAAGGATTGATTGCTCAAATCAACTCAAGGCAAGAGGAAAAGTTGTTCTCCTTATCGAGGGCTACACGGCTATACCAAAAAGTGCGGATCTTACTGAAGATCATCATATGGGATTTTTGAAAGCTAGGGATTCTAGCTCGTTTTTGGATTCTTGAAGGCTTCTACCAAGTGGTTTATGCTTCAAGAGGTAGGGTTTCTTCCTACTTAGGTTCATTTACAACCTAGGATATTTATATGAAATGGGTATGTTGATAGGATGTTATTTCACTTGCCTATTATGGTAGATTCAATGAAATGAGTATTGAAATTGGGTAGAATGAATTTTACCTTGAATTGGGTATGTGAATTTGACTCAATGTGATTCATGGAAATTGGTATTATGTGGGCATATTACGTGTTTATTTTATGCCTTGAAAATTAAGTGTGTTGTTGACACATATTATGTGATAACACGCTTGAAATTGTGGCTGGATATGAAAATGTTGATATATGCTAATTGATATATAGACATTGCTATGAAATTGGTAATTATATGCTTCAGATATAAATTGTCATGGAATATGTTTAAATGTGATAAATTTTGCTCATGTGACATCCTTAACATGTGGGCATGATATTGAGATAGCAATGACGCATTACATTGCATTTGCATGGGGGAAACACCTCTATAGCCATGAGGGTGAGTGTGTATGTGCATGGTTGATATCAAATACCAAATAAGTGGATGATGGGTGGCTCAGAAAAGTTGGATCGAATATCCGACTAAGTCACACGGTTGTGTGGATACAAAATTAGGTTGGGGTTAGCAAGAAGGGCTAGATTATCCCTTAAGTGAGAAACCCGGTGATTCGGAGACACTTCATTGGTATAAGATCTCATAAAGTATGTCGGTGTACGCGAAATCATTGGTGAAAGTCCATAAATTCCATGTTGGTTGGGTGTTATTGGTGTAAGTCTATAAATGTCCACCCCAAGAAAGACCTAGAGATTTTTACATAGTCATTGGGTGTGTAGCGCTAGTGGCGGGGCTTGAAAAGCTGATTTTATACCCATGGCATCACATGGAGAAAATGAGCTAGGGAGGCTCGGGTTAAGTTGCATGATTGAGTCTCATCTCATTTCATGGTATGACATTGCTAAAATTTCAACATTGAATAATATATTCTTGTTTGGGAATGTTGTTGGTTGTAAAGTGTTGCATGAACATTCATATGCACTTAGGTTGAGAAAATATACGGAAAATATTCTACCAGGCATGGCTCATCCTATACGGAAAAATATTTCAGATGCGGGATATACGCTGGAGGAAGGCCCTCGCATGGGATCCCAAGGGTGAAGAAAGCCGGAATGTGGCTTTATTTTGAATTTTGTAATACACTCATGAAATTCCTATTTTAGTATGTAATTTATGGGAATTGAATGTAATAAAATGTTTATGGACCTTGTATTAAATGAAAACTTCATTATACATGAGTTGGATAGAAATGACATGCTTATGAATGGGTTGGAAACGAAAAATAGGTGAAATGGGTAAAAGTGGGCATTGAGTACCGGTACCACGTGGCTCAGTGAGTTAACAGTACCGGTACTGAGTACTAGCCAATGGGTAGATAGTACCGGTACTGCGAGGTCCAGTAGGNATTATGTGGGCATATTACGTGTTTATTTTATGCCTTGAAAATTAAGTGTGTTGTTGACACATATTATGTGATAACACGCTTGAAATTGTGGCTGGATATGAAAATGTTGATATATGCTAATTGATATATAGACATTGCTATGAAATTGGTAATTATATGCTTCAGATATAAATTGTCATGGAATATGTTTAAATGTGATAAATTTTGCTCATGTGACATCCTTAACATGTGGGCATGATATTGAGATAGCAATGACGCATTACATTGCATTTGCATGGGGGAAACACCTCTATAGCCATGAGGGTGAGTGTGTATGTGCATGGTTGATATCAAATACCAAATAAGTGGATGATGGGTGGCTCAGAAAAGTTGGATCGAATATCCGACTAAGTCACACGGTTGTGTGGATACAAAATTAGGTTGGGGTTAGCAAGAAGGGCTAGATTATCCCTTAAGTGAGAAACCCGGTGATTCGGAGACACTTCATTGGTATAAGATCTCATAAAGTATGTCGGTGTACGCGAAATCATTGGTGAAAGTCCATAAATTCCATGTTGGTTGGGTGTTATTGGTGTAAGTCTATAAATGTCCACCCCAAGAAAGACCTAGAGATTTTTACATAGTCATTGGGTGTGTAGCGCTAGTGGCGGGGCTTGAAAAGCTGATTTTATACCCATGGCATCACATGGAGAAAATGAGCTAGGGAGGCTCGGGTTAAGTTGCATGATTGAGTCTCATCTCATTTCATGGTATGACATTGCTAAAATTTCAACATTGAATAATATATTCTTGTTTGGGAATGTTGTTGGTTGTAAAGTGTTGCATGAACATTCATATGCACTTAGGTTGAGAAAATATACGGAAAATATTCTACCAGGCATGGCTCATCCTATACGGAAAAATATTTCAGATGCGGGATATACGCTGGAGGAAGGCCCTCGCATGGGATCCCAAGGGTGAAGAAAGCCGGAATGTGGCTTTATTTTGAATTTTGTAATACACTCATGAAATTCCTATTTTAGTATGTAATTTATGGGAATTGAATGTAATAAAATGTTTATGGACCTTGTATTAAATGAAAACTTCATTATACATGAGTTGGATAGAAATGACATGCTTATGAATGGGTTGGAAACGAAAAATAGGTGAAATGGGTAAAAGTGGGCATTGAGTACCGGTACCACGTGGCTCAGTGAGTTAACAGTACCGGTACTGAGTACTAGCCAATGGGTAGATAGTACCGGTACTGCGAGGTCCAGTAGGCAAAGCGTATCGATACTGCGTACCGATACTCTTTCCAAAATTTTGAAAAAATTTTAAAATTATTTTGTCAAGCTGTTGGGCTATGGGTTCTTGGGTTCCAAGGATACAAATGGACTAAAATGGAGTATAAAATGTGGTGCATCGATCACTGTTGAATTAAATGAGAAAATGTACATGGTTACACGTGTGGACTATGACCCCAGTTA